ATTCAATCTTACACAGTTAAAAAAAATTATGATTCATATATCATATCTCATTTTTTTTCCAATCAACGTGATAATGAACTCACACTTAGAAGAAGAAACTCCAATTTAGCCCAATACAAAGCTAAAATACTAATGGAATTATATCAGTGCTTTAATGAAATTCGTGAATAGCAGATGGAAGAAATTGTTCGGGAAAAAAAAAATCTCTAATAACCCAGCAAAATAAATTCATTTAAATTATCCAAGAAGTTGGGCAAAGAACATGCGGGTTTTGAAATTCATTTTAATAAAAGATCTCTGATAACCCAGCAAAGCCAGCTTTTGAAATGCAATAAGAGTTTCTCGCAAAGTTATTGGATTTCCAATAAACAAAATCAATTTTTTCTAATCCCATGAATTGTCTATTCTGCAACTTCCTTTTCCATGAAGCAACCAAACACATGATTCATTTGATAAAGAGGAAAAAAAAATGAAAACCCATTAACTTAGGCAAAGAAGAACGTGATAATGAACTTAGAAGTGGGTATTTGATTCAGAAATGGGTATTTTTTTTCCACTTAGAAGAAGAAACTCCAATTTAGCCCAATAACAAAGCATACTAATCAAAAAAGGACTGACCCAAAACTTCAACCAACCTCCAAAAATTGAACAGACAAAGAAGAAAGGACTGACCCAAAAGGGTGCTGAGCGAAAGAGTGGGGGAGAAGGAGGTACCTGGGCTGAGCTTGGTGAGATTGGTGAATGGGTGTTGATCGTCGCTGGTGTTGCCATTGTGTGCTGCCGCTGAGCCATGGCAGAGGAGTGAGAGGGGTGTGGGTAGAGGGGTAAGGAGTCTGGGTAGCGTGTGCTGCCGCTGTGGAAGAGGAAGTGACTGGAGGGGGTAGCGTGGCAAAGGAAGTGACTGGAAGGGGTAGCGTGTAAGGGGTGGGTTTGATTTGGGCGGGATTTTTGTTTATGTGAGATGAAATGTGAGCCTTTGGATTAAGTTTGAAGAATTGAGATGAAATCTTGGTCATTGAATTAAAATTAGAATGAATCAGAGCCGTCCTTGTGCTTTCCCAAATGAATTTAAATTAAATTAAATTTTAAATTGAGAAAAGATTCAAAATTGGTCCTATCTTATTATTATAGATTATGGAATTTAAAACGACATAGAATAAGAGCTCCCCAACAGATTTCTCATGATTCTGAGTCAAACAAAGCACAAAAAAATTAATGACAAAGCTTCACAAAACTTTCAATCAGAGATATAAAAAAATAAAGGAAAAAAAAATCAGAGACAAAGAAGTGGATTTAGAAAGAGATAAAAAAATCAGAGACAAAGAGGTAGATTTAGAAAGTACTGGTAACTAATTTCCCATGATCATCAGTCCAAAACAAAGATGGAAAAAAAAAAGCAAGGATAATAAAGCTTTACAACAACATTCAATTCAGAGATAGAAAAAACAAAGGGAAAAAAATGAGAGAGAGAGAGAGAGAGAGAGATTTACAAAGTATTGGCAAGGTGAATATCAACTTCGAGAGCTTTAAGAGAATCCTTCAACGACTTTCCCATGGCCACACTTTTCCTGGAAAATTAACTCCCATTCAACAGAAGAAAAATCCCAAGGAAAAAAAATAAAAAAGCAGAATAAAATCTCCAAGTCGGTGGAAGTATGTGAAGGATTTAGTAACCAAAAGGGTAAAGGACTGATTTTTAACTCTGTAGACTAACAGTCCACCAAGAAACAAAGTTTCTCTTCTAACAAAGAACACACCCTGATCCGATTTAAATAGAATTACAAATAAAAAATTAGTGGATCATACCAATTCTTGTGCTGTTTGGGTCTCATTGGAGTGTGTGTTTGCATCTCAGTCACTTGCACTAAGTATGTTTTTATGCCTTCAGCTTCAAACACGAAGAAATGGTCCCAAACCATATATGATTGCCTTCACAAAATGCAGACAATTGCTAATAACCTTGCTGCTGCAACCAAAGGTTTCTTATCAGGTTCTCATTCTTTATATTCTGCCTGTCTTAGGGCCAGAGTACATTTTTTTCCGTATCAGTCCAACCACCAATATAAATACTTGAAGCAATAACAGACCTATTGGAAACTCCAGAAATCATACTTTTCGGGAAAAAAAAGAAAGATCATGATAAAAACAATTTTAATTTAAATCACAACTCAGTTGATTCACACAATTTTAATTTAAGCAGCGATGGCTTATAGTCCTAATCCGAACAATTAAAAAAGAAAAATTAAACCTAAAAAACATGGAAATTATAGAACATGTCGTATTAATGTTCAAGAAAACTCTAGAAATAAGAAGTGGCACTGCGAAAAAACAGACCCAAATTAAACTATTAGAAAAATGAGGTGACGGCCTACAATATTGTCGAGAATTTTCACAATCACATATTAATGACTCGCCGCACTTGATAAAATCATGTCTCAACTATTTATGATCGAAAAATTAAAGCAAATTAGATAAAGATAACCAGCAAAAAAAAAATCAAAATCAAATGCATAAATTCAAAATAAGCCAAAATCAAATGCATAATCAAACGTCCAGGTACACCCCATCTCTCACTCTCTCTCTCTCTCTCTCGACAACACATACACACAGTCAAATCCACAAATCCTTTAGTATCCATGTTTCATAGATTAGCGGTCTAGTGGATAGTCAGAGAAAAAACAAAGTTGCTGCCAAAGATGAAAAACAGAGGGAAAAAAGGGTATTGCTGGGAAAAACAGAAGCATCGCAAAACATATGGCTGAAGTGGACGCAACTCCATTGGCTTTGAAGGCTGATTTTGCATTTAGTATGTGATGTACTGAATTTCTTATCAATTAAAAAAAAAAAAATGGGCATTGATATGTGATTTATGAAAGCAGATTTTTCAGCTGTTGTTTTATGCTTCATTTTGGTTCTACTTACAAAATGTTGGTACCCAATAATACTTACTTAACTATCACTCAAATACATAATCCAAGTACCCGATGTACAAACGAAGCCAGTTTGTTTTCTAACTTAAGGACTTAATTGATCATTGCTTCAAATTCCCAAATTCAATTCTAATAAGCGGGGATGCAAATAACTCATTCGTGCTATTTGTGAAAAATTATGTACCGGGTTTTTGACTCGCAAAAATAAGCTAATGCTTTGCTTATAAGTAAGCATTTTGATGTATGTTCACACCTTGTTCACACTGTTCAAGGAATGGTAGGATCAAAGCTCCTACACTCCATTGAAGATTTCTGTACACCATCACAGAAAAAAAACCTTAAAGGACACCCAATCTAAATGTAACCGGAACCAACATCTTGAATGCATATTGGATCGGTATCATGCCTGAGAACGTGTTGTTCTCCAAGGACAAAGCTGACAATTTGGGCATGAAACCCATGAACCCGGGTGAGTGAAGAGACCCGATGGGACTAACCCACTGAGGTCCACCACCTTCTGTCCTTAGAGAACTTTCTTCCATTAAAGTTCAAAAACCTCGCTGTGTGTGCTGCTGAAAACCCCCATGTTTATGTGTAATGTCATGAAAACCCCCATCAAATTGCTCTTAGCCTGAAAACCCCCATGTTTATGCGCAATGTCATGAAAAACCCCATGTTTCAAAAGTCGGTCATTGGTGAAAGGGATTCGTGTGTGTGAATATGAATGGTGTGTGTGCTGCTAAGCGATTGGAGAGAGAGAGGAAGAGAGGGGGAGAGGAAAGTACCTGGGCTGAGCTGTCGCTGGTGTGTGTGCTGCCCCTGAGAACGTTGGTGTGAATGATGTGTGCTACCGCTGAGCCATGGCAGATGAGTGAGAAGGGTCTGGGTAACGGTGTAAGGGTAGCGTGTAAGGGTACCGCTGTGTTGAGCCATGAGCCATGGCAGAGGAGGTGACTGGTGAACAGTGCAAAGGTGGGTAGCGTGTAGGGGTTTGTTTCATTTGGGCAGGATTTATTTTTTATTTGAGATGAAATGTGGACCATTGGATCAAATCGGAAGAATTGAGGTGAAATTTAGGCCTTTGAATTAAAATTAGATTTAATCTGAACAGTTTTTGTGCTTTCCCAAATGAATTGAAATTGAATTAAATTTTTAAACAAAAAAAATTCAAATTGAGTTCTATCTTATTATTATAGATGAATAATCAAAGCATTAAAAATTACACAAAAATTAGTAACAAAAGAGAAAATTACAATCTAACTAATTCAAATAAAATGTACGTATTGTGTGGAGCTGAAAAAAAATGGTGGCACTGAATTTGGATTATGCTACGATTTATTATGAATTTCTTAAATTCTTCCCTAAAATAGAAACAATGGACTGTCAAAGCATAAAAAATTGCACAAAAATTGTTAGAAAATAGAAAATTGAAATCCAACTTATTAATATAAAATGTACGTATTGTCTGGAGTCTACAAATATTGGTAGGGCTGCATTCAAAATCTCAAATGATTTATTTTTTATTTTTTCCTTAAAATGAAAAAAAGAGATTATCAAAGCATTAAAACTTAGACAAAAATTATTTTAAATAGTAGAAAATTGCAATCAAACTTATTAAAATAAAATGTACAGATTGTCTGGAGTCTNTCTTCCATTAAAGATCAAAAACCTCGCTGTGTGTGCTGCTGAAAACCCCCATGTTTATGTGCAATGTCATGAAAACCCCCATCAAATTGCTCTTAGCCTGAAAACCCCCATGTTTATGCGCAATGTCATGAAAACCCCCATGTTTCAAAAGTCGGTCATTGGTGAAAGGGATTCGTGTGTGTGAATATGAATGGTGTGTGTGCTGCTAAGCGATTGNTTTTTTTTCCTAAAATAGAAAAAATGGATTATCAAAGTATTAAAAATTTTGCAAAAGTTATTATAAAATAGAAAATTGCAATCTAAATANTTCAAAAGTCGGTCATTGGTGAAAGGGATTCGTGTGTGTGAATGTGAATGTGAATGGTGTGTGTGCTGCTGAGCGATTGGAGAGAGAGAGAGGAAGAGAGGGGGAGAGGGAAGTACCTGGGCTGAGTTGTCGCTGGTCGCCCGGTGGTGTGTGTGCTGCCCCTGAGTACGTTGGTGTGAATGGTGTGTGCTACCGCTGAGCCATGGCAGATGAGTGAGAAGGGTATGGGTAACGGTGTAAGGGTACCGCTGTGTTGAGCCATGAGCCATGGCAGAGGAGGTGACTGGTGAACAGTGCAAAGGTGGGTAGCGTGTAGGGGTTTGTTTCATTTGGGCAGGATTTATTTTTTATTTGAGATGAAATGTGGACCATTGGATCAAATCGGAAGAATTGAGGTGAAATTTAGGCCTTTGAATTAAAATTAGATTTAATCTGAACAGTTTTTGTGCTTTCCCAAATGAATTGAAATTGAATTAAATTTTTAAACAAAAAAAATTCAAATTGAGTTCTATCTTATTATTATAGATGAATAATCAAAGCATTAAAAATTACACAAAAATTAGTAACAAAAGAGAAAATTACAATCTAACTAATTCAAATAAAATGTACGTATTGTGTGGAGCTGAAAAAAAATGGTGGCACTGAATTTGGATTATGCTACGATTTATTATGAATTTCTTAAATTCTTCCCTAAAATAGAAACAATGGACTGTCAAAGCATAAAAAATTGCACAAAAATTGTTAGAAAATAGAAAATTGAAATCCAACTTATTAATATAAAATGTACGTATTGTCTGGAGTCTACAAATATTGGTAGGGCTGCATTCAAAATCTCAAATGATTTATTTTTTATTTTTTCCTTAAAATGAAAAAAAGAGATTATCAAAGCATTAAAACTTAGACAAAAATTATTTTAAATAGTAGAAAATTGCAATCAAACTTATTAAAATAAAATGTACAGATTGTCTGGAGTCTAAAAAAATTGGTGGCATCGAATTTGGACGTTGCTATGATTTATTATCAATTTTTAATTTTTTTTTCCTAAAATAGAAAAAATGGATTATCAAAGTATTAAAAATTTTGCAAAAGTTATTATAAAATAGAAAATTGCAATCTAAATATTAAAAATAAAATGTAAGTATTGTCTGGAGACTAAAAAAATTGGCAGCACTGAATTTGGACTTTCCAATGATTTATTACTAATTTTTCAAATTCTTTCCTTACAACAGAAAAATTGAAATATAAAAAATTTTAAAATGGCCAAAAAATTATTACAAAATAGAAAATTGCAATCTAACGTATTCAAATAAAATGTACGTATTGTCCAGAGTCTAAAAAAATTGGCGGCGATAAGTTCGGACTCTGCCATGGTTTCTTTTTAATTTTTCAAATTCTTTCCTAAAATAGAAAAAAAAAAGATTATCAAAGAGAATAAAAATTGCACAAAAATTATTGAAAAATAGAAAATTGCAGTGTAACTTATTAAAATAAAGTCAACGTATTGTTTGGAGTCTAAACAAATTGGCGACATTGAATTTGGACTCTGCTATGATTTATTATGAAGTTTTCAATTTCTTTCCTCAAATGAAAAAAAAAGGATTATCAAAGAACTAAAAATCGCACATAATTACTAAAAAAGGAAAATTGAAATCTAACTTATGAAAATAAAATGTACACATTGTTTGGAGTGTAAAAAAATTTTCGACACTAAATTCAAACTCTGCTATAATTTATAATTAAGTTTTTAAATTCTTTCTAAAAATGGAAAGAGGGGATTTCAAAGAACTAAAAATTGCACCAAAATTATTTAAAAATACAAAATTACAATCCAACTTATTAAAATAAAATGGACGTACAGTTTGGAGTCTAAAAAAATTGGTGACATTGAAATTGGACTCTCCTATGATTTATTGCTAATTTTTCAAAATTAATTCTAAAATGGAAAAAATGGATTATCAAAGTATTAAAAAATACACAAAAAATATTCAAAAATAGAAATTGAGATATTACTTATTAAAATAAAATTTACGTATTGTCTGGAACCTAAAAAAATTAGAGTTGCTGAATTCGGACTCTCTTATTATTTATTTTCAATTTCTAAATTTCTTAAATCAACTAGAAAAAATGGAGTATCAAAAAATTAAAAAATTGCCCAAAACTTATTTAAAAAATAGAAAATTGCAATCCACCTTGTTAAAATAAAATCTATGTATTGTCTGGAGTCTAACGAAATTGACGGCACTGAATTAGAATACTGCTATGATTTATTTTAAAATTTTCAAATTCTTTCACGAAATAGAAAAAATGGATTATAGATGCAATAAAAATTACACAAAAATTATTGAAAAATAGAAAATTGAAATCTAACCTAGTAAAATAAAATGTACGTATTTTATGAAGTCTTAAAAAATTGGCGGCAATGAATTCAGACTCTCCTATTATTTATTATTAATTTTCTCATTACTCTACCAAAATTGAAAAAAAGGATTATAAAAGCATTAAAAATTAAGAAAAAAATATTAAAAAAAATAGAAAAATGCAATCTAACTTAGTAAAATAAAATGTACTTAGTTCCTGGACTCTAAAAAAATTAGCAGTACTGAATTTGGATGCTGCTATGATTTATTATGTTAATTTTTCAAATTTTCTGCTTAAATAGGAAAAATGGATTATCAGTGCAATAAAAATTGCACAAAAATCATTAAAAAAAATAGAAAAATGTAACCTTACTGATTAAAATAAACTGTACGTATTGTCTGGAGTCTAAAAAACTTGGCGGCACAGAATTTGGACTCTGCATGTATTAATTATTAATTTATTTAATTCTTCCTTAAAAAATAAAAAAATGGATAATCAAAGCATTAAAAATTACACAAAAATTAGTAACAAAATAGAAAATTACAATCTAACTTATTGAAATAAAATGTACTTATTGTGTGGAGTTGAAAAAAAATGGTGGTACTAAATTTGGATTATGCTACGATTTATTATGAATTTTTTAAATTCTTCCCTAAAATAGAAACAATGGATTGTCAAAGCCTAAAAAATTGCACAAAAATTATTAGAAAATAGAAAATTGAAATCTCACTTATTAAAATAAAATGTACGTATTATCTGGAGTCTAAAAATATTGGCAGGGCTGAATTCAAACTCTCATATGATTTATTATTAATTATTTTCCTAAAATAAAAAAAAGAGATTATCAAAGCATTAAAAATTAGACAAAAATTATTTTAAACAATAGAAAATTGCAATCAAACTTATTAAAATAAAATGTACAGATTATCTAGAGTCTAAAAAAATTTGTGGCATCGAATTTGGACGTTGCTATGATTTATTATTAATTTTTAATTTTTTTTTCCTAAAATAAAAAAAATGGATTATCAAAGTGTTAAAAAATTTGCAAAAGTTATTATAAAATAGAAAATTGCAATCTAAATATTAAAAAAAAATGTAAGTATTGTTTGGAGACTAAAAAAATTGGCAGCACTGAATTTGGACTTTCCATTGATTTATTACTAATTTTTCAAATTCGTTCCTTACAATAGAAAAATTGAAATATAAAAAATTTTAAAATGGCCAAAAACTTATTACAAAATAGAAAATTGCAATCTAACATATTCAAATAAAATGTACGTATTGTCTAGAGTCTAAAAAAATTAGCGGTGATAAGTTCGGACTCTGCCATGGTTTCTTTTTAATTTTTCAAATTCTTTTCTAAAATAGAAAAAAAGGATTATCAAAGAGAATAAAAATTACACAAAAATTATTAAAAAATAGAAAATTGCAGTGTAACTTATTAAAATAAAATCAATGTATTTTTTGGAGTCTAAACAAATTGGCGAAATTGAATTTGGACTCTGCTATGATTTATTATGAAGTTTTCAAATTCTTTCCTCAAATGAAAACAAAAAAGGATTATTAAAGAACCAAAAATCGCACAAAATTATTAGAAAAGGCAAATTGAAGTCTAACTTATTAAAATAAAATGTGCGTATTGTTTGGAGTCTAAAATGTTGGCGATATTAAATTTGGACTCTGCTATAATTTATTATTAATTTTTCAAAATTTTCTAAAAATGGAAAAAAAGGGATTATCAAAGAACAAAAAATTACACAAAAATTATTAAAAAATATAAAATTACAATCTAAGTTATTAAAATAAAGTGGACGAACAATTTGGAGTCTAAAAAAATTGGTGGCACTGAATTTGGAATCTGCTATGATTTATTATTAATTTTTTAAAAAAAATTTCTAAAATAAAAAAATAGATTATCAAAGTATTAAAAATTACACAAAAAATATTAAAAAATTGAAACTGGGATCTAACTTATTAAAATAAAATATAAGTATTTTCTGGAATCTAAAAAAATTTAGAGTTGCTGAATTCGGACTCTCCTATTATTTATTACTAATTTCTTAATTTCATTCCACAACTGGGAAAAATGGATTATCAAAACAATAAAAAATTGCCCAACAATTATTAAAAAATAGAAATTGCAATCCACATTGTTAAAATAAAATGTACGTATTGTCTGAAGTCTAAAATAATTGACGGCATTGAGTTAGAACACTGCTATGATTTATTATTAATTTTTTAATTTCTTTCACGAAATAGAAATAAATGCAATAAAAATTACACAAAAATTATTGAAAAATGGAAAATTGAAATTTAACTTATTAAAATAAAAAGTACGCATTTTATGGAGTCTGAAAAAATTGGCGGCAATGAATTCATACTCTCTTATTATTTATTATTAATTTTCTCATTACTTTGCTAAAATTCAAAAAAGGATTTTAAAAGCATTAATGTAACACCCCCCATTTTCTTTTATATATGTATATAGATATATAGTAAATAATTGTTGTAAAAATGGGGATATGTGTAGTGATGTGTGTTTGAATTTGGTAGAATGAAAAAGGGATGAACAGTGCACTGGCTGTAACATCAAGCTCGATTTCGACCTTGATGCAGTCCATATCTCTCAAAACTTAAAACATGAAATTTGTAGAGCTCTCTCTTAGGATTCCATATCACCTTGAATCATCTCAATCGGAACTAGGAGGAAGGAGTTATGTCCATATTACGAAGTAGTGTCTACACTGTCCAAAAATCTGTCCGGCAGACTACCTTTCGCTAATTTCATCATAACTCTTTATTGGAAAGTCCGAATTGTGTACCGTTATTTTTGTTAGAACCCTAACTCGTATATCTTTCCAACCATATAGGTTACACCTCCTAGAAATACCTGAGTCAAATCAGTTTATTC